CGCGACATGACCTTCAGCGGCCACAACAAGACCATCTCGATTGACGGGCAGGTCAAGGAGTTTGAGATGCAATACGTATATGCGCCATACCCCGGCCTGGAGGCGTTTAGCAACATCTACATGGACACGACTGGCAAGGTTGTAAGGACGAAGATCGTGGCTGAGGCGGAAGGAGGAGGCACTGCGACGATTAGCAATGACGATCAGTGAGCGGCGCAAACGGCCTCACGGTCGAAAGTGAGAGACAGGGCCTCGAGCCGCCAATTGAAATTGATTCCCGTTACCAACGACATTATAGGACCAATGCCATTGTGGACATCGAATTGCCGTTTAAGATGTGAGGCATGCCAGTCTGTAAGCAGAAGAACCTCCGACGTCTGGATCGTTCGATTGAAACGGGGAGCCGCCTGTGGGACTTTGACACGCCCCCCATATAATGGAGAAGATATTGGTGGGGGCGTGTTCGTGGGCAGACTGCTGTTTTTCCTCGCAATGGAACGCGGTCAAAGCTGAATGCACAAAGATCACATCACACAGGCATGGCCTAATTATGGGAATAACTCGATATCGTAAGTGACATGTATACGTGTGCATACACCTTCTTCCCTTCTAACTATCAATTGTCGTGACTACATATACGGAGCTACAGCGTGTAACCACGGAAAGATTCTGAGCTGTTGCAATTCTTAACAGCGCTGTTATTTCTGGTCCAGGAACAGGACCAAATCCTCCGCGAACTGCGACGCTCTAAGTTCTCGGGCTAGGGCCGGACGGGCAGATCATTCATCTCAGCCCCCATGTAGCAGCGCACGGCGCCGCCAGCGACCTGTCCACCATCATTTTGTGCTCAATATGAAATTTGTGCTGGAGTTATGAGTCTGGGTGCAACTCTTCCCCGCTGCAGCATGTCAGAACCACGATAAATTACCGCAAGGTCGCACCCGTTGGTGACCTGGATCTGCCTTGCGACTGCAACGTGGGCGCGCCCGGGTCGGTTACACCCAAACGATCAACCGTCTCAACGACGTGCTAGTCACCGTTAAGTGCCTGTTGGTAAACCGAGAGTGATCTCGGTAGAAGTCACTTCTACGGCGCTGCTTAATTGTTGGACTGTTGGTAGTGTGACTGAATTGTGCTTTCTTTTTGGCCACATTGTAGCCCCTGAACCCCGCGGAGGCCGTTGGCACGGGTTTACTTTAGCCGTGAATCACAGCCCACAGCTCCAATTTACTCAAGTTCTAGCCAATGTCATCGCCCGGCCCAGCTTTATTGATGGAGTTCTTTGATGGAAAAGGAAAACTTCACTGGACAGAATCCCATGTTGTCAACATGGAGGTAACCTTGTAGGGTGGGCTCTGTGAGGTGGTCCACTGCGCAAGGAGATTATCGCCAGTAGGATCTCGTGGCCTGTCACCCTCTCCTCATCGCCCTGCACGGCAATTCGTCCGACCAGATCTCGATAATTTTTGGAGCCAGTGCAGTGTTGGCAGATGCAGAAATCAAGGCAGAGGAAATTTGGCATGTTTCACACGTTCGATTCTGGCTCTTCGATGAGTTCCGCTTTCGTCGACGTGCGTCGGATAAGCGAGTGCTGAGGGTCTGTCGACGCGGTTACGCGGCACCAATGCAAGGGCAGCGAGAGGAGGGAGGGAGTGATGCGCTCGCTCTAATGCGCTGCGACGCTGCGGCGTGATGGAAGCTTGGTACGGGTAATAGTTATGCTTGATTAGCCAGAGCGTTCAGATGATCTGATGGCGGCATACTCAAATCCTGCTTTTGAGAAAAGGGGTAATATTAGATGTTGTCGCGGCATATCTTTCTTCGTGCGTGGAAGACTGCCTTGTCCTCCATACCCTGTTCTCAGCTACGCAGCCAACGGCTGTCATCTCATCTCCGGGGGAGAGTTGAGGGGAAGCCCAGAACGGAACTGTCCGAGTCTTTTCCGTGCTTGAACAACATGTCGTCATTAGAATCGCATTTTGTCGTAGGGTAGCATGCCCCCTGGTCGTGGGTTCCTCCTGTATCGCCGATTGTGGAAACCTTCCGAAGGAGCCCCGTCCGTTGGTTTTTTGACGAAGAGTTTGCTTCCATGAGTCGTGTTTGGTTCCATTGCAGCTGGGACTCTAGCAACACACGTCTAGTAAAGCGCTTAAGGTTGCCATCTGAATTTCGCTCACTCAAAGAATCTTTTTCGACATCACAGCGCAGACATACATTGGCCAGACTCCCCGAAGCGCACAAAGTGGGATGTCAGTCACGCAAAGCTTTAGCATGCATGGGTCATTGGACGTTGGCTTGGGCATTATGTTGGGGCTTTTGTGCTCACATTGATGTATCTACTTTCAAGTATTTCAAGCCAAATTGCAAACAGCCTCGTTAAAAGCAGGCACCAATTTCTTTTCGTTATGTGGAAAGAAATACAAGCAGGCGTCGCTACTTATAACCTAATTCATCCAACCCGTGTTCATGACGCTATGGAACGAAGCATACTTGAGTCCCGCAAGACAATGAGCTTTTCAGGTGCATCTTGCAGTTTATACAGCAGGTAGCTGTCGCCCAACTGCTCCTGTTCACTCAGAGTGAGGATCATTGGCAACTATGTGAGGACCTCGAAGGGGCATGCCTTTGACAGGTTCGCCTTCGCTCCTAATCCACCAACGGTTCGACGCATTCCGAACAGTAGAATTGTCTAGTACTGGACGCTTTTGCCCCGATCTGAGATCTATGTCATGAGGATCTCTCCGAAGACACTCGTGGCGCCCATAGGTTGCATCAACTCTGGCAGCGGTTTCAAGCGCTCTCCGGCCCTTCTCTATGTTCGTGAGTGGCCTTGGGATAAAAACGGGAGTTGGCTCGGGTTGCAGCTTAGAGGCTGGGGTCGAGGTTCGGACAGGGGCTGGATTCGGAATTGGTTTGATAGCTGGCTCAGGACCAGGCGGCGAGTTGCCGTTTCTCGTGTTACCGTGCGGTTCTGAATGGGCCAGCCTATTGCCCCTAGGTCGTAGCATCTCAACATCACCTTCTTTCTGAGGGCCCACTGGGGAGTCGAAAATCGCATCTCCCATGTGAAGGAGCTTGTGCATTATCCAGATCAACCAGACTCCAAAACGAATGCCGAATTTCATATCTGGCCTAGAATGAAGCACATGTTTGCGCCACTCCGTCGAGCCATGCGTTATGCCGTCAGGGTAGTCGTGAGGATTGCGTCTTGAAGGCAAGTCCATGGATATGTGTATCCACCGCGCCATTCCACCGCAGAAGACCAAGAAGGCCATTCCAACCACAATCGCAATGAAGAGCCCCAAAGGGATCTTGCGTTCATGGTTGAAGGACGCGACGCCTACAATTGACCCGAACGTAGCGCCAAGTAGAGCGCTGTACAGAAAAAGGGAGAAGATTCCGAAACGAAGGAAAGCCAGGTTGGCGCCGTATTCGTCGCATGACATCTGGGATTCTGACATTGTTTTAGCTCTCGAGAAGCAGGGCGACTTCGAGGAAACGATGGGGATGATGTTGACGAGAATATCTCACGCTGCTATGTTGGTTACGTTCGATGACTCCGCTACGATGTGATCATCTGTGTATGTTCACGGACGCTTCTTATATGTCGTATCGCGACCTCTCTGTCGCACCTGAAGAATCGAATCGTATCTTGAAGGAAGCTTCGTATGGAAATGGGTTGGTTCGGATGTGACACAGAGACCGACACATCGATGGCGCTTGCATTCGATTGGCGCCCTTTTCGACTGCGTTCCAGAAAACATCAGTGTCTTTCATGAGGAGCACTTCGATCCTAGATTGTGTTTAGCCTCAGACAGACCACGGCATGTGATATGTAGGCTTAGGGAGATAATGAAAGAAAGGCGCTCTACTTACTACCCAATGCCAAACGCACAACGGATTTTGTCTCACTACACAAACGCATCACCCAGTAGCTGGTCACTAGCTCTTTCTGAAACCCTGCTAACTCATAAGCAACCTCCTCTAGCCTGCAAGATACAGTAAAACTTAAGATAGCAGCAAAGAATGTAGTTGATACCACCCCATACTCTGACCGACACTGGGTTAGACTATAAAACAGAGGCACTGATTGACGTTCGTCAGGAACCGCAAGCAGAAAAGCCAGAATTGATTGAAAAAAGGAAAAAATAAACCCGAATGATTGGATTGAGTCAATCGCGGTGAGGATTTGAGCCTCACGCGGGGGTCGAACCCGCAACCTTGAGATTAAGAGTCTCACGCTCTACCGATTGAGCTAGCAAGGCGGGCTTGAATTGTTGACGGCGACCGAAAGTTCGAAACTGAGATACTCAGCCTGGCTGCTGTATCTTCGATTTACGCTTCAAGATTCACAATTCCCATGATTCCTTGAGTGGTTGAGCTAAGGTGGAATTCTCTAATTGAGTTTCGCATTCTTCGAACTTTATTTTCGCGTGGTGTGTGACGTTGCCCACACCTCAGCAATTGCTTCTAGCCGCTGTCGGCCCCCGTCCACCACCAAATCAGGGCATATCCTTGTGAAGACTTGCCCTTGTTCAATAATATCTGTTCGCTCGTCAAAAATTGTTCGGATGGTAATTCACTTGAACTACTATATTGACCGTCACGACATCCCTGTTGTGCAAAGCTTCATGCAGGTTCCGATTTGGTCTCGGTCGACAATGAGGCAAACTAGCTTCGCGCCCTGTGCCGATGGACCGCCATAATTTCACAGCATCATGGCGTAGAAAAGCATTGATGAAGTGGTCGAAACTCTCAGTGAATCCGCATCTATCGGATCTACAACTCAAGTACAACCTCCGCCGGAAGGCAACCGTAATCTCCGATCCCGTTGCCGGCGAAACCTTAACGGAAGATCGGTGCTCGGAGCTATCCCGTTTCTCCAGATCGCCATCTAGACGTGAACTTGACCGTATTGTTGATCAAGTATGTAAAGCAATGTGCTACCTCCAAAAGCTATTCCAAGACAATTCTCAAGCATTTCATCCTGCACACTCAACATGTCTTCCTCACAGGTTTCTCTTGCTCCCAGACTGGGATGGATAGGTAAGCCCACCGTTCTTGGCCATGCAGATTTTATTTTGGTGCAGGTACTGACAAAGGCCAGGACTGGGATCCATGGGCCTGCATATGGCCTCAAACTTGCAGAAGTATCTGTCAAAGAAGCAGGGCCCAAGTCTTCGTTTCTATAATCGCACTGAGTCCCGTGGTGACCCTCTTAAGCAACTAGGGGGCACTCCATCAACCATCCCTGACTTAGTGTCCAACTCTGACATTGTATTCATGTCCTTGGCTGATGATTCTGCGGTTGAATCTGTGCTGGACAAGATTCTGGAGGTTGGCCAACTGAATAATAAGATAATTGTTGACACCTCGACCATCCAACCTTCCTCGTCGGCGACGGCCAAATCAAGACTGCAGGAGAAAGGCGCCGACTAAGTCGCGGCCCCAGTCGTTGGAGCCAGTCCTATAGCTGCGAAAGCACAACTTTTGTGGATATTGGCTGGAAAGGAGAGTTCCATTGAGGCCGTACGTCCTTATATCACCGGTGTAATGGGAAAGGGCATTGTTCCGACAGGCGACGACGTTCGCCAAGCGAGCTACTTGGAAGCTGTAGCGTAAGTGCATCAAGTCTTTGGCGGAAAAAGCTCCCTCCTTACTGACCTCACTATGTAGAAACACTTTGTCAATGGGCATGGTAGAGGTGGTGGGTGTCGCTCATACTCTCGGTGAAAAGGCTGGGCTGGGAATCAAAACCGTGGAGGCTTTGCTCCAAGAGCAGATTGGTCCGGTCGGGTTGATGGTTTCGAACCGACTGACGTCCGGTGCTTACATGCCTCCTCGGGGCGAGCGGCCATGGTCCCCCGCTACTAACGGAGTAGCAGCCGGAAGGCAGGCTCTGAAGAGCGGTACACAGCCTAAACTGCTGTCTCTCATTCTGCAGCAGCTGGAACAAGCGGTGGAATATGCCGATGCGGCAAACCGACAAGTCGATGCTTCAGCGATTTACGGAGTTATCAGAAAGGATGCGGGACTCTCTTTTGAGACGGACCAAGTCAAAAAGAGGGATGGTTCTATGTAGAAATTCCCTACAGATCCATCAGTCGGGCAAAATTATGCGTGCTCAAAGCCCAGTGCGGTCTTTTGGATTTACAGGTTTCAGGTTAGATGAGACGTATTTGCAAGGAGGCAAACCGCAATTTTGGTTGTCGTCACTCACAGTCATTCAAGTACCGCATCGCATGATCATGTTGCAGACCATCGACCCTTGGCGCATGATGTCTTCAGATAGTGCAAGTTGCTACAATGCGGAAGTATTATCAAGCTATCTTATGTGTCGAAATGCTCTGAAACGTGATAGAATGTAAGGTAACCTAAGTGATTGGCCGCGGGAATTTTGAAATTCAGCCAAACCAGTCGGCAACCTGACTTGACAAAAGATTACGCGTGGGAATTTTAATTGAAAGACCATGACATGCAGCGTGCATACAATCATGGCCAGTTATATACATGTAAGCTGAGGATGACGATGACCCATGAACTCACCCTCGAGCATGTACAAACATAGAAAGAATAGTGATTATGACCGGAACTCCCCGCTTCCTAAGAACTCTAGCCTTTTTCTAACAATCCGACATTATCATTACTTCTTACTCGTAGGCGTTCCATCCCCAAGTTCTGCCAAAGGGGCCTTTGGCTCCTGTGGTGGCGGCGGTGGTATCACCGGAGGGCAATGCTCAACGCCGTCTAACTCGCTGACTGTATGCAGCTCGGGCACACCGACAGCTGAAGGATTAAGGTGCCTTGCATGTGGGGTATGGCTAGTCATCGAGCTGACGTTGCTGTCTGCATACGTCGACATGCGCTGGTTATCGATCACGGGTGAGGCATGCTTCAAGCCGTAATACGGCGAGTGTGGCGGCGAGGTCGAGGCGTAGGATCCCTGGACGGTAGTCGTGGCGAAGGATGCTTGGATGGTCAGTCATGATCCTTCGGAAGAAGGTGATGAGAGGCTTACATCGGGCCGGGTCATACGGACGGGGGCTGCGTGATGGATCATAGGGTGAAGGGCTGTGTGGCGATGAGGCGAAGCCCATCTCGGGATGACGGCCGGGAGACGCAGGCTCCCAGTTCGGCTCGCGCCTTTCGTTGCGCTTCCGAGCGTGCCAGCCGCATCGCCAGACGATGGCAATGATAACGCCGACGGCAACGGCAGCTCCAATCGCGATACCTACAATGGCTCCCGTGGCGAGACCACCTCCTGACCCACTGTCCGGCGTTGAAGTTGCAGACGCGGATGCTGAAGGGGTTGGTGACGCATCCTCGCTGGACACGAAGAATGCTCTCGCGCTGGCGTCTTTACTCAATGTGGCCGGGATGAGGTTGTCTATCGGGCATAACCCGTCCGTCTCGTTGCATGGATTCGTCGCGCAACATCCGATGAACGGGAACGTGTTTGTGTGTTCGTTTTTGCAGGTCCACCAGATCTCTTTCGCGGGTCTCGGATCGTCACAGCTTTGCGCCTGGATATTCGGGTAGACGTCGAGACTGAACGACGACACCTTCCTGTCATCGGCCGGGCACTCTCCGCCGTTGGCGCATGGATTCGAAGTACAACAGCCGAGAAACTCTTTCGCGCTGCCGGTGCAGACGTAGAACTTTCCTCCTCTGGGACAGCTCAAGTCGCCGCTGTGCGCCATGCCGATGGTGTAGTGCGGTCCTCGATAGATGTATGCCGGAAGCAGGCGCTCCCCTTCTTTGGTTCTGTTGGTGTGCAGAAGAAGAAAGATATGAGATCAATTTCAAACCCTGACTTGGGAAAAGCTGGCACGCGTACTTGATTGTTAGTCAAGACATCCCGTCTGAGATGTATATAAGCGTAATTGAGAGAGGGCCCACAGGTTGGAATGCGAACCAAGCCACCCTAGCCCGATCAGCTTGGCTTGCCCGGGGGCATCATTCGGCGACTTTGATCTTCGATGGGGTGGTGGTACTTGGCCCAGCACAAGAGAAAGCTCGTCAGACGGTCTGCAGGCAGACGGATAAGGCTGTCGCTGTTGCCGCAGGGCGAAGGATGTGCCAATATTGCGCTTGTGGGGGTTCACAGCCTCTTTTTGGGGGCTCTTGGGGGTAGGCTTTTTGACGAGCATGTGGAGACACAGGCTCACTACTTGGCATCATCAAGATGGAGACTGGCGTTGGCCAAGACTTCGAGTATGCGGGCTGCGGAATCCGGTAAGATGAAGGGCATTGCATGAGCTCCCAAAACCACAGCGGCGGGATTTCTTGGGCGTTTGGGAATTGGTCTCACAGTGTTTGCCATTCAAGGATGCATTTTCATTGAATAAGGGTGTGTGTGGGATTGCACCCAAGCCGCGTGGAGGGGACTGAGACAGATCATCACGAGGGGGCCGGCTTGATTAAAGGGTGCCATTGTGAGACCTTGACGTGGAATGAGTTCATTAATGGTCTTGGAACAAGACCGAAGAGCAAACAATATTCTTTGCGGGCGGGTGGGTGTTCTGCCGGCTATCATGCTGTTGGAGCCAGGGTTGTTGGTTCGAGGTGTTTGTTGGGTGGCGGGGGCTTTGCTCTTGCAGTCTGCACTTTGTAGGATCGCCTGCGGAGGACTTGGCTGCTCAGCTGAAGTATCTGAGATAAGCCCAGCCTGGTTTGCGGTGCAAGCTCTAAAAATACGAGAGAGTTTGTCATCACCGCAAATGGGACGGGTCGCCCAACGGGAAAGGCTGCTGACGGCGGTGCTGACGGGGAATCCGAACTTACGAGTAGGGTGCCTTTGTGCCGACAGCACACCACCACAGCATAATACGGGATTTTGCCTTTGTGAGTGTCCAGAACCAACAAGAATCGACCTCAAGTTGTGTGACCAACATGCACGCAATGAAGAGATTGGGGCAGGGTTTGTTGGAACAAGTTGGAAAGTGCTGCGTTTGAAGAAGCGATCGGGAAGGTTTCATGATCAAATAATTATCCTTCAAATTTCGCTCGATGGCCCCCTTGCTGCGGGTTTGATCCTTTGCGTTTGCTCATGGCAGTCTTGGAAAAGTGGCCTTGTGAGGGCATCGCGAAGACCGACGTCGATTGTGTTGTGCATGAAGGACGAGGACCACCACCAGACAACCATTTTGCGTTACATTGTGACGGCCCCATACTTTTTCGAGGGGCGAAATCCAATAATTTGTTTATAATCCCATTTGACTGACCTGTGGAGAAGAAGCCGTTGATCAAAACCTTTTCTGATGGTGAAATTCAGCCGCTTTCCACGAATCGTCCGAAGATGTAGGCTGTCAGGTATCGCGACGAACAAAAAGGTTTCAGTAGATACCGATTCAAACAGCCCTTTACCGAACGTGTCATCGTAGACGTGGCCAGTCACACTTCTGTGGGCACCAACTAGACCTCTGCGACGAACTACACGAAGATCATTATAGACTGGTCGGGGTCAATTAGAAGGCCTTGAAACAAAGTAGTAATCCGATGACTCCTCCACAGGTATTCAGCGCCCGCGGAATAGTGGAAATTGGATATATAACCGTCCGACCACATGAGACAACCCCGATGAGTTACCGGATCGGGGTCTTCCTCCATGGGTCGGCCTGGCAGCGCCGTCCTCTCAGCCGTAGAATACGAAACTTTCGGCCCGGGCCACGAACGCTCAGTAACACAAATACGGCCTTGGCCCGGGGTGGCCTAGGCTCCACACGTCGCTTGGGATGGCCGCGTCGCTCATGGAACGAACTGGGCCGGGGGATGGGCTGCTTCCGAACCGGTGTCGAGCAAGTCTTGCCGGTAGGGCTTTATGCGGCAGCCTAGGTGGCGGGTGTGGCACCGTCGCCGAGAGGACTTTGGAATCTTTAGACGGCCCCATTGCCGACGAAAGGATCGGAATGGGATGCTGGACATCAGCATCCACCCCGAATCCTGTGGGGGTTGCGGAACCGTTCGCTCGGTAAGTTGAGGCCCGATGTGCCTTTGCCAAGGGTGCCGTTCACACATGAAATTTGAAGGCGGTTCCACTACGACCTGTGATCATGAGACGGAAGCTGTAGCATTGAACCTTGACAACTTCACATCTAGGACTTCATCCTCTTGACATCGTCACATTGAGTCTGCTATTTTCGTTCATGAACCATCACCAACTGACATCTTCACGGCCGGCGAGCGGAATGCTGCTGGAGTCCGGACTGCAATCTGCAAACGCAGTCTCATCTGCGGATGTAGCACTGATCCTCTCGGACGACGTTGAGACTCGTGGCGCCGCCATGTTCTGCTGTTGACCGGCAACGTAAGGCGTCAATCCTACGACGTGGTGATCCGTGCCGGGATGTGGAGGTGAGCCCCGGGGGACCCCGGCCTCTCTTCAGTCCTGGGACCATCGCTTCCCTCCCGAGGGAATCGGCCCCATCCGCTCGCGCATCGGATGCTGCATTCGTCGGAATAGCGAGAGAAGCGCGAGTAAGGCACGCGAAGTTCAGGAGAGAGACCTCAAGAGGGGCATCGCGCCGAACGGAAGAGCGACCGGCGTCGTGGTTAAGAACAAGCCCAAGGGAAGCCAATGATGTCTTTGGGATAGAGCCCAAGACCGAGCAAAGGGGGCCCGTCACGGTGGAACAGTCCGCCAGTCCGCCTTGGCCTGCGTCCGGGGCTCGGTCCGGGCGGCCTCGTTGAAATAACTTCCTGCAGGAAGGGTTGCGTGGGAGCGAGGTTAGGTTGCGTAAGGTTGGCTGCGTATGTACACAAGCGGCGTCTATCCTTAGAATGTGGATGCGGCGCCAAGGGACCGACCTGACTTTTGCGAAATGGGGGCACGCAACGCTAGCTCAGGGACGATCAGCAAAAAAGAATAGGGATGGACTATGTGGCGCTCACTCGGCTCTCGCTTTTTGGTGCGGGAAGCGATGCGTTGGTCCAATGTGGCCGCAGACTAGCGACCGAAATGGTGTCGTTTCACGGACGTCCGAGAAGCGCACGTCCATGTCCGGCGGTCTCTCCACGGGCCTCCGGTGCGACGAACAGGCTCAGGCACACGCTTCTGTCTCCTGAACCATGGTCGGTCGGTCG